TGTCTTTCATATTGGGAGCATATCTCAAAGGATATACAGGATTTACAGTAAAATGTACTGATTATCTGTAGGCAAATGCACACAGCAATGTGACAAACAGCCATAAAGTGAATGACCACATTTTATTTGGGGAATTAATGACTGGAACACTGGAAGAAAATCCCTTCTCCTTTTGAATAGTGTCATGAGATCGTTAACGTCCATCTGAACAGGCAGATGGGATAGAATCATAGAATATTACAGAACAGGAGGCCATTTGGCCCATCGTGGCTGGACCGGCTTTGGAAGAGGAACTCAATTAGTCCCACTCCCCTGCTCTTTCCCCGTACTCTTGCAAATTTTTCCCTTTCAAGCTCCTATCTAATTCCCTTTTACATCCACACAACGCATTTACGATAACTCAAGCCCAGTTGACTTGGGGTTCTTCACCCTTTTGAAGTAGATTAATCCAATGGTATTGATGGAGGTGTAGGCATGTCTTCAGGTCTGTAAGCCAAAGGCCTAAAGTGTAGGGTGCTAAGATCTGGACAAGTGACGTGAAACATACCAAATGCACCAGTGGACATACAACCTCTAATGTCATTGGATCCAGAACACAAGTGAATGCTGTACAGCAGTAAACTCACCTTTAATTTGATTTTACCAAATACATTTTGACATCAGATGGTATGAACAAAGGTAACAGAATATCTTTAAGGGATATGATTAACATCTCATGTAGCATTGACAATAGTTGTGTCATATACTCCATTACTAAAAAAAATTTTATTTTTAAAAAGTTCTATTTTGACAGATGCACATGCAATGCATTGAATAAATCAATCCAAGGCTGTAATTTCTGACCACAAACATTTTAGATCAACATTGTAGGATTACTCATAGTCATTCAACATAAAGGAACAATAAAAGTTCTGCTTGCACCGTACCACATTTGCAAGTCCAAATACTACTACTATAGTTGAGCATTGTGCTATTTCTTTCAAGATGTTGCAGTTAAACTAGATTCAAAATAACATACTTGAAAGATTTTAATTATCATGTAACTATTTTAAAAATAACCAATACAAATAGTGAACAGTGTAACTTGAGCCATGAAATCACAAACCATCAACGGATACAGGGTTGACAAGATGTACTGTTTTTAGTGGTAACATTAAAAAATGCAAAAAGTTTCCACTTTAAACATTAACTTGTAAAATTTCTGTCATTACATTAATATATATATTATCTAGGATGTTAGAATGTTACAGCACAAAAAAACATTCAGCAAACCATGTATTACTGTGTTTTGTATCGTCCAGCCCCTCAAATTCTCAAACCCAAAATATAGTCATTAAATTGAACAAAACTTTTTATGCCATGGCGGGGGTGGGGGGAAGATTTTTAAAAAGTCACACATCTATAAAATTGTAAAGGACTACATACAAAATTTTGGGCCAGTGCAATCCAATCCTTTATGGATAATAATAATCCTTGCATTTGATATATTTCGGCAGGAAGAAAGCACTTCACAGAAATTTTATGTTGTGACTGTTTTTTGTAGGTGATGGCAGCAGCCAATTTGTCCACAGCAAATTGTGCATGGACTAAATCAGAATTACTCGGAATTTTAAACTGTAGGAACTGATACTGCCTGTAAATTTTGGCATAAGCACATTCCACCAAAGTCAATAAACAGAATATCATTCCCTAATCAGATAATCTCACTGGCACAGGAAAGGTGAGAGGAAATGGATCCTGTACTGATAGAATAAGGGATGCTCTTTTTAGGATGTCACGTTACGAGCGCAGAGTGAGTTTTATTCAGCATCAGTACTATACCTCACCAGGGAGTGTTTGATGCCAACACTGGAAACTCAAAATAGAAAAAGTTCAAATTTGTATTTACCAGCATCATTCAATTTGACAAAGATCACAAACATTTTAAAGCCATAAAATTTTATTGTTTAAATTTTGAGTACAGTAAATAAACATTATTATCGGTCTTTTTCAGTAGGTTAAATATGTAAAAGCAGTGGAATGGATCAGTTCTAAGATGCTCCAATATACGTAGAGTTGGATGAATGTCCCAATCCGTGGCCATGTTCCAGAGGAGGCATGTCTAATCATTGGTTTGATTACAGTACCTTTTAAGAATAACATCAGCAGGCAAGTCAACTTCGATCACCATCACATACCTCCTGTGGCAAGTTTAGAAAATCATCCACAAAATTATGCTTGCAAGTCTATTTACTATAACTTTGTGCTTCTATATGATAGTTGTCTTCTGTGAAACATTTCAATTTGCATCATCAGTTTAAGATCCTTTTGCTGAGAATTACTTATTATAAAAGTACTGAATGAAGTGCCTATTTCACACGATTTAAAAGAATGCGATTATTGTACAATAGTTTTAAATCGGCACCTTGGGACGTCCTTCCGACATGAAAGGCACTATATAAATATAATTTGTTGTTGTTAAATATAAAAATGCAAAATTCAACAAACATGAAAATATTAGAAAAAAGCAAGAAAGGAAAGGTTTTTTTTGGGAGTTAGTCATTCGCCCAGAAACATGTGGAAACCCATTAATAGGTTTAAGATTATACAAACAAGACAAAGTTCCACATAAGTGCACAACATATATGGGGCACTGAATGCATACCGTGTACTTTTAAGCATGCACCCTACCTAATTCCAGAGAGCATAAGATGTAGCCCTTCTTAAGAGTAACCCATCTAATGCCACATAGCTTGCCATTGATAGTTTAGTCTGATAACCTTCCTGCTCCTTGACCCAGCAAGGATCACCCTACTGATTGGGGCATTGGCTTGCAGGGTTAACAGAAGTAGTCTCACATCCTAGTCTTGCTGATGAGCCAGGCTGGCTGGTCTGTCGTCAGCTGTTCCTTCGAGTACTGAGGACCCAGGAACTAGATACCAACATATGCTTGGCAATAAAATGTCAGAGCCCAGAGGTTTGACTTGATTTTGACATTTTGTTGCCAAACAAGTCAGCTAATTGAGCTGCAAATAAACTCCACTTAGCTCCCCCTCCATCAGATGGGGAAAAAAATAAAATGAGGAAAAGAATAGATTATAAAAGTATGATGGTTTCAAACATCTTATAATTTGGAAGGAAGGAAAAGTGAAAGAGAGAAAGAAAGCCATTTAGTTTTATATTTTGTACCTCATCTGGTACATGGAAACATAGTGAAGACATAGTCATTTGCAACAAACAAATGGGAAGAGAAACATGTTAATAACAACAACAAGATTAGATTTGTATAGCCCCTTTCACATTGGGAGGACATCCCAAGGCGCTGTACAGTGGACAGCATTTCAGACCCGAGCTGGGGTCAGGGGGGGAAGAAGGGATAATATATTATATATTAATTTATTATATCGATAATAAATCAAGATAGACTAAATGCAACTAAATTAAGTCTGGAAGATGAAAGAGTAAGTCACTCGTGTGCTCACGACCTCACTGCAAGGTTTCTGAGTTTGCATATAGCCACAATTGAATATTTTACATGGTATGATTTAATTCTATAGCCCCACCATAAATTTACAAATACGCTACAACATATTGAAAAAAAATTTGCTTTATGAACAGAATCAGATCAACAATTCTGTATTAAATTACATATACTTAATTAGATTCAAAAAGGTACAAAATATGCAATTAGTGAATGTTGAAACTCAGAACTTCATTCCTAACAAATTTTAATAAAACAATGAAACAATTAATACAACGTCTTCAAGTGAATTCCTGTACTAATACTTTAAACAAATTTAAAATCAACATATGCACACTAATATATCATCAGAAATATATAAAAACAGTCCATGGAAATGTATGTATTAATTCTGATGAAATTTCAAGTTGTGGAAGAATGCAACTACAGTGTATTAAACATTATATACAATACTCTGTGTACCAGAGTGTCCATTTAAGTAGTAACTCTTTCAAAAGAATAAGACACCTAATAGTTTTATCAACACATCTATTGAAACATTAATCATCAGTCAGTTACTGCCTGTGAAACAATGAATACCAAACTTACTGAGGTTTTTGCACTACAAAAATTACACTATTGTATCAAAACTGCAATCTCATTAAAAAGTTGCCAAATCTATCACCAGTTAGAAAAAATGCTTTAGGAATATTCCTTTTTGGGGTCAGCTGGGTGTCTGTTACATGCAGAATCCCATCACCATGCTTAAAAGTATCCAAACCAAACAGAAGTCCATGTATCCCACCTATACAAGGAAATTCCAAAGATGTTTATTGGAAATGGAATGTTCCCGCTTTCCCTGGAGGGATGAATCCTGCTTACACAATTTCAGAAATTCACAAATTGACAGGAGCCATGCCTTGGGGACCCCAAAATGTACCTTGGGGGTACATTCTGCAAGAGTCTAACCAGCTAAACCACACTGCTTGCCATTGAGAGCACTGTCTGGCAAGTCTTCCCATTCCTTGTGCAGCGAGGACCACCCTACCCTTTGGGTTGCAGGGTTAACTGGAGCTGAGTGGAAAGTCCATGCCCCAAGTGGTCTGCCCTTCTAAGCCCTGCCAATCAGCAGTGCCCTGGAGTACTGCAGAGCCACCTGGCTCAGGAACCGGACTATAGAGCCTGCCACAGAGCAAGGGCTCGTTTTTGACATTCCTTTGCCAAACATCTCACCTTCCTGTGAGTTTTCCCCAACTGACAAATGGCTAAATTGTCAATTGAGGAGTCCTGTAGCTCAGTGGTTAGAGCGCTCGCTTTGCAAGCGAGAGACTTGGGTTTGATTCCCGACAGGGCGAAACCTTGGGCAGGTTTCCTTACTCCACACGCGTGACAATAATCCCTCAAGAAAAAAAAACAATGATAAATCGGTCACTTCAATCCACGACTGTTTGTGGGAAACTGCTGTGCACCATTGGCTGCTGCATTTCGCCCACAAATATACAGTCAATTCACTTAACAGTCTATTTTAGAAGACGTGAAAAGCACTATATCAAATGCAAGGATTATTATAATAATTAAATGTACGATTAGATTGGTCTTCACTCTCAAATGAATAACTACTTAAATATAGGCTTTGTGAAGGCCCTGACGTACTATTTGATAAAATATTGGCTGTGTGGCAAGATCAATAGTAGTTTGAAGAAAATTTACTGCTTTGTTTTGTTTGCATACCTGAAAGGCAGATTCAAAAGATTTACAAATTCTTCCAAATATTTCTTCAGAAAGATTGAGTTAGTTTTCATCACTTGAATTTTTTCATAAATATTAAGTATGCTACATGGACCCGATTTTAAAAATCTTTAGTCACAAGATCCTCAGAACTAGGCATTTCATATGTTAACCAGAATACCTTATTGTTTGAAACTAATATTAAGAAAATCCTCCTCTTGAGCAATTAAGAACTGTGAACATATTGCACGCTTATGGTCAGGCCAATATTGCTGTTTTAATACAACACTACTCCTTGCATCTCTATTGCTTCAACCTCTATAAATTTCTCCACCAGGCAAGCTGGAGGCATGCACCTACAGAGAATGACCGAAAATATGTTTTTTCTCCACAATGTTTTAGTGTGCGATGAAGTAAATCAATGGTTTGCCAAGAAATTAGCTCTGCAGCAACATATACAACGGTGCCAGTTGAAGAAAGCACTTCAATTGTTACAATGACAGCCCATTCAGTTATCTTCACCTTTGCACTTGGATAAGAACATGGATACTGTAGACACAAGGAAGCAAACTGCAGGCTGGCTATTATATATGTTTTTTAAAAAATCATAAATATTAATAGGAAAAATATGATTCAACCTCAAGTATTCATCAGCTACTAAGATCAATCCTCCAATCATATGTTGCACCAAATGGGAAAAGTGGGTTACTAGCAAGGATTCATATAACTATAAAATCCAGCTCCAGATCTCATCAGCAAGAGTTGTGTTCAATTGCTGAGCAAGTATCATTCATATCTTCTGTAACATTGTTGAAACAAATTCTTCATATGAACACATGATTATCTTCAGTTCAAAATATCGTCAATAACTTTTTAAAAAAATATATCAACTGAATAAAAAAACGTTGAAGCCAAGCTTTACGTGTAGTTTACCCTGCCCTCCATTATGATTTACTCTTTCATACACAGACATCATCAAAACTATTACTTGACAGCACAGTAAAAATTCTGTAAAAAACTGGAAACAATTTATACTCTGAAGATGATCTAAATCAGTTAAATGTTATTCCTCAGATATATGGATCTGTAAACTGTTTTCTGAATCTTCCCCATGGTGCATCATTTACCTATAGAAAAATAAATTCAAAGCTTTGGGGAGTAGGGAGAAACGTTAAAAATGTCCTACTACCTCTATTAATTAAATCAGCATGTTCAAGGAATATATAAAAAGTAATTGGTACAAATCATTAAAACATTGCTCACCCATACCAAGTGCTGGGTGGAAAAGATAATTATTTTGCATATGATGGTGTCATTGATGTAACTAGTTTGTGAACCAGTCTCATGCTATCTGTAACTCATACCAATAGATGGACTAGAGTCAATAGGTCCTCCCCACCTCTGACTGTGGTTTGGAGGGGGCTTTGGAAAAATTTTGTTTGTGTGCAGAGGTTCCACGGAGTTCAACACAATCTCTGAAGATATGGGATGTTCAAAACGTTCCATCATTTGAATAATCTTCTCACGTGGAACTCGATGTTTATTCCTCCTATAAAAGCAGTATAACTGGTTACTGAACATGTCAAAAGCTTAGCTGTGATATTAAAAAGCATACTTAGAATAAGAGCAGCACCCTTTTCTCAACCTTGCATCCAACATCACAAGCGCAAACAGGTAATCCCGAAACCAAACTAGCTTGACACATTTCAAATTTTACTCCTCTACATTTTATTTTCTTGTGTTCCAGAAGACAGCAAAGAGCAGAAATGAAAATAACAGGTGGTAAACCATAGACACAAACTCTTGACCTAACAATGCCTTCTGCTTCTGACCATACTGCAGCTTGGATTCTTTCACTGCAGTCTAATGACTAATCAGTCACGACAGAACAGATTCTTGTCCCTAAACTGGACAAGCTGTAAACAGTGCCTTAAAAAAAATCCACAAAATTATTCTATGCAACTGTGTTGAGTTGTCTTTCCACACAGAGTCCAACAAAGACTGCTCAATGTGGTGTGTTGCTTTACTACTGTTGAACAAGCTGGAATGTTAAGAGTAGGCTGTAACCAAGATTCACCTTTCCATCAAAAGCCCAACAGAGGCTGCTCAGAGTGGTGTGTTGCTTTACCACTGCGGAGCAAGCTGATAAGATGGAATATTAGAGGAGGGTTACAGTTAAGGATTACCTGATCTCTGATGAGTTATGGCCCAGCTGTTCCAGGTATTGTTTAATGGTGGAGGGTGAAAGAGAAAAAAGGGGAAAGAGAAAAATCACAAGCTGCTTGGAGCCACTTTCACACACCTCAAGAGAGGCTAGTCATGCAGTAGCATTGACAGAAGTTTGGGGTCAGGTGGCTTGCTTACCCTCTTGGATTAGGAGGGTCTGCAAAGCAACACAATCAAGAAGCAGAAGAAAGATTTTTTCCTAGAAAATAAAACAGAAGAACATGGAATTTGTTCAAGGCCATTTTAAGGAGGTGGAAATAAAATGCATTCCTACAAGGAAAGAGAAATACAGCAAAACCAACCCTGAATAGTGAGCGAAACAAACTTAATGGATAAGAAGGACAAACGGGATTATTAAGTGATGAAAAGAAGCAAAAAACACTGAACCCTGGGATTCATATAAGCAACATTTGAGGCTAATTATAACAATCATATAATAATCCTTGCATTTGATTCAGCCCCGTATCACGTCTTCAAGACGGGTTCCTACTTTCTGCTAGGTAAATAGAGGCATGAGGAGTAAGATAACTTGTCTAAGGATTCGGCCTGCAGGAAATCGAACCCAGGTCTTCTCGCTTGATAGGCGAGTGCTCCCAACAACAAAGCTACAGGACTCTATTACAGGATTAATTAAAACTATTAGATGAAGAGTCTTAGAAAAGAAATCTGTCAAGAGTAACGAATAGTATTCAATCAAATTTTTTAGAAGTAGGCGCAAGCTTTAAGGACAAAATAGATCATTTAAACAATAAATTAACTGTTCAAAATTAGGAGATGCCAGATGTGTGAAAAATCCACTAACTGTGTCTCAGGGATCTTAGCGCATGTGTAAAAAATTAGAAAATATACAAGGCACCCAGTTTAAATAGGATGATTATAGAATCTTCAAGAAAATGTTAGAGGAAATAAGTAAGATCCTGGTTAAACTATTCAGAACTCAAACATGGGAACTGTACAATGTTATCCTGTTATTCAAAAAGGGAGAGAAAGAGAGAGAGGGGAACCACTTGGAAATTATGGGTCAGTTAACCCAACAACAAAAGTAGGAATAATCCTTGGAACAATAAAACCATCTACACTACAAAAGTGCATCTATTTTCAAATGTTAAGAAGGAAAATAATTATGATAAGATCATTCATTTCATCACTGAAAGTTTCTCATTAATTTAAAGCTGTTATTAACAAAGCACATCAGTCAGCCAGTGAGGGTTGGGATCTCACCACATTTCAACATAGGATCAATTTTGTGCAGGGATCAGAGAAGGCTACGTATTAAAGTCTCACAGAAAAGGAGCATACGCTTTCTTTGCATTTTGGTATTCCAAAGGCACAATATCGGCATCAAATTATTGGCAAATGTTGCACAAGTGCTTTTGTTTGTGCATGTGTGTTGTGCTATCAGCATGGTTGTGCCTAACTAATTTTCCTCTCCCTATTCCAAAGCACAAAGGCTAATTGTAGTGCTCCAATTAACTTGGCTGAGAGTAACTAATTCAGACAGAAATTAAAAATCCAACTTTCTGGTCTGTAAGACTTCCATATTTGGTGGTGCCTTTCCTACTAAGCCATTGGGATGTCTCTTAACACATTTGCATCAGTGTAAACAGTCAGCCAACTATCTTTCTTCCATGGAAATAATTTCAGTAACATTGTAAGTTCCAGCATCTTAAAAATATTATAAAATTTAATGTAGAGTTATTCTACTAGATGTGCATCCAGACCTCTAAAACATCCTGGAATATTTAAATAAAAAATAAAATGAAAAAAGCCATTCACTTCATTAAGCCTCCCAAATATGTAAATATTTAATTTGGTCAATTATACACGAGAATTATTGTGAACCTAAAGAAGATAAGTCTTCTTACATTTGGCAGTTTCAAAACATTGGATAGATTCATCTGTACAATACAGTATTTAAAAGTAAAACTCAACCACAAGATGTGGCATACATCACAACCCAACATTCACTATTTGGTCCGAGCACGGATTTCCCAATGACACTGTCCATATATGGCACACTGCAGCTTCCTACAAAGCCACATCTGAAATGTTTGATGCAAGGTTAAAAAAACTCAAATTAAAAATAAATGTGCAAGTTCTTACTTTTCCAGCTCTGAAACATCAAATTTCCACCATGTATCTGGCTCCTGAAAATCCACCCGGTAACCTCGGTCTGCAGCCTATTACAATAGTTCTCAGCATCAGAACTAAGCATTTCATAGATCAGTAACTCTACAGCAAACTATTATTTTTTTACAAAACATAACTTTACATACTTGGAAACTAGAACCAAACTCTTGGAAATTTTCCATTTTGCACCTTGGAACTAGAACATCACATGTCTATATGTGTGTATGTATATACACATATATATATGTAAAATATATTAGCTACAATAAAGTTGTGATAATTAAATAATTTCAAAATTCTTAAAACACATTTTATCTAACTTACAGAATTCACTCTGATGTACAATTACCTATATCAGAAAGTGATGAACACTATTTATTCCAAATTAATCCTCATCCAAAAGACATCTTAAGTTATTTAGAAGATTTTCTTTTCTCCTAAATATGCAGCCTTGCATTGTAATTAGAGTTAGAATACTATTATTGCTACAAAAATTATCAATACAGTCAACTAAAGATGAAACTACGTTTCAAAAATACATAACAATTACATTTGTATAGCGCCTTTCACATTGGGAGTCTCAACACACTGGACAGTCAGGGATTTGGACTTGAGCAAGGGGTTGGGATCGGGGGGGTGGAGGGCAGGGAGGTTAAGGGTAGGAGAGTGGATGAAGGCACGGTCAAAGAGGAGGGTTTTGAGACGTGCCTTGAAGGAGGCAAGGAAGGGAGCAAGACGAAGGCTCTGTGGGATGGGGTTCCAAAGGGTGAGGGCAGAGAGGCTCAAGACCCAAACGCCAATGATGGGGAGGGCCGGGCGGAGGATGTGGAGCAGGTCATAGCCCGCTGAGCAGAGGGAGCAGACAGGTTGATATGGGGTTAGCGGGTCATAGAGGTAGGAAGGAGCAAGGCTTTGGAGGGCCTTGGAGGTGAGGACAAGGGTTTTGAACTCGATGCTCTGGGGTTTGGTGAGCCAGTGGAGCCAGGTGAGCTTGGGGGTGATAGGGTCACAGAGCCTGGTGCGGAAGAGGAAACGAGCTGCAGAGTTCTGGATGATCTGCAGCTTGTGGAGGGAAGGGTTGGGAAGGCTGACGAGCAGGGAGTTGTCGTAGTCGAACCTAGATGTGACAAATGTGTGGCATATAGACCTTACCATTTCCACATATGGCTTCATTTCCCACGCTTGGATATTTGTATTATCTATAATTACAGGTGTCACACCTTCATCCATAATTTGTTTAGCTGTTAAAAAAATGATACAAGTTACATTAAACACCTGAGTTATCATTTTGTGAACAAATCTTCATATCTCAAACCAATTTCCGCCTTGAAATAAATAACATAATAATCCTTGCATTTGATATAGCGCCTTATCATGTCATTGAGACGTCTCAAAGCGCTTCACAAAATATATTGGAAAGTGGATTAACTGTGTATTTTGTGGGTGAAATGCAGCAGCCAGCAGGTGCAGTAAAGTTCAATTGCTACAAAATATAGTAGCTTTTTGTCACATCTTTAAATAGAGGACTGCATACAACAAATTTGAAATAGCCTGTATATTTTTCTTCTTTCAGTCCAAAAGACTATTTTTTTAAAAAAACTCCAAATTTCTCTGGGGCATTAATTCCATTTCTTGATTCACCTAATCACATCCTTAATAAAAATAGAAAAGGAACTCCCCCTGCCAGTTTATATTATCTCCTCCATATGACTCAAATTTACCTCTCAATGCAACCTAAAATAATATCAGCCAAACATGTGTACAACTTGGAACAAAGAGCTCAGGCTCATAGCTGCTGGACTGCCCTAGAAATTTTGCTTTTTAAAAAAAATTCTCAATGGCTCATTTGTCACTATCCAGTGTGACAAAGTAGAAGCTCCCTTGATTTAATCCATCCCCAAACAACGCTGATCCAGCCGATTTCAGCGAGGAGAGAAACTGAGGTTCCACAACTACCCTCAGTTAACAGGGAGGAAATTAGCTCGGGTTCCCGACCCCGACTATTATCCCAGTGTCTTCTGACAAGCACTGTCCAGACTTACACGTGAAGAACAGCTAGTAGGGTGAAAGCAGTCCGATCCCATGGAACTATATTCCAGCTCATGCCTTCAGGACAGGAAGAAACAATTCAAATTTAAAAAACATAAAATTGAAAATTATTTTCAACAACTGCATTGCTTGAAATAGCTAGACACCAAAGAGGTGTAGCTATCTTTTCAAAATTGTTGTTTGACTGCCAGCTAGCAGTTCACTTCAAGTTTTTTTGTTCAGTTAAAAACTGATCCTGCTAATTCGCAGTTAGAAGCCATTAATCTGAAGATAAATCTGAGACCGCTTGAAAAAGGATAGATTTCCCAACACAGTCGTAAGGTGCAAGACGACCTCAACAACGAAAAAAAATTCTTAAGTATTATGCCTTGGAATCATGATCAGAAGCAATGCTGAATGATGCTTCGTTACAACACTACTCTGAAGTTAGCTTGGAAATTAGGACACTGAGCTAGCCATCGCAGCATCAATCCCATTATACCCAGAACAGTACAGTACAGTACAGCACACGACTCGTCAACAGCACGGAGGGAACCGTATCTCACGAGAAGCAACATATCTCATCAGAACAATCACATTACCCAAATCAACCATTTTATAAAAAGCTTTGACATGTTACTCACTTCTAGATTACCTTTGATCAGGAAATACCGTTAACATCTCATCTCTGAAGTCCACTAAGCAAAGTCCACTCCACAGGAATAAGAGTGTTTTTTTAATAGAAGTAATTCAATCAGATCAGCCAAATCCTTAACTGGACCATAATCAATGCCTAATTAAAGCATGTATGATTATTATTTTACGGTAGTAATTTTAGAAATGTTAAATTATCTCAAAATACATTTACCCCTATCAAATAGTAGCCTAATTAAAAAAAGGCCAAAAATACATTTAACATCCAACTATAGTATCAAAAATTAGTTTATCTAAGCCAAAAACTCTTTTTAAACATTAAAATACTGCAAATATAATAACTGATATTACGATAAAATAATTTAGCAATTTTGAAATCATCATATCTATAATTTTAACCTATTGTCTATACATTACAAAAAAAGGTTTATTGCACTGCACCTACTTTAAAGCTGGGAGAAGTACAAAATGACTGCTTGTTTTGAACTTTTTGTTCATTTTGCTTATGTTTAGACAATCCTTAAGCACCTGTTTGGCTTTCATGATTTTACAACTCGCTTTCAGAAATGTTTGCAATGCAAACTACTGAAAATGTTATGAAAAGAGACAGGTGTGATGGGCTTCGAATGAATCATATGAACTTTTAAACTGATTCTTATTTTATACTCTAGTCCAGCCTGGTCCAACAGGTGACCCACGAACCACAACCAGCCTGGGGGATCTCATCCGGCCAGAGACCATTTCCAACATTAGGCCATCTGCTCCCTTCCTCCCCACGAACTGTACTCTCATGGCAGTGGCAGGAGCCGGCATTTGCTAGGACATAATGCCAGTGATTACTGCAGTCTATCAGGAAGCCTCTCCCAAGCTGAGGGAGGGGCTTCCTGATAGGCAAGCAGGTCTCCTTATCCACCGTCTCCCAGTTGATGGTATTTGAATTCTAGTGGCATCCGATTTCAGGAACAAAGCTCAAAATTAAAACGATTGATCTAACTATAATTTGATATGAAAATGCATTGGGTGGATACTAAAACCATAGCATTGGCATCAAAGAAACATTCAAGNAAAAAAAGTATCCGTGAATGAATTCTGTTTTCCCATTTGGTTTCCATGCATTTACATACTAGCTTCAATGATCACTTGCATGAGACCTACTGATTCAAAATGTAACAACATTTCCAAAAAGACAAACAGCCATCCAAATAAATAGAAAACAATTAATTACATAGGAACATAGGAATTAGGAGCAGGAGTAGGCATTTCAGCCCCTCGAGCCTGCCCTGCCATTCACTGGAATTTCACATTGAAATTATTCATACCTCTTTCCTGATTCCATTCATGAGCTTCGCCAAGCAAACTGGAGTTAAACCAGTAACTTCCATCCCGAAGGAAATAATCATCTGTGGTTAACACCACACCACTAGGATTCTGGGCTAATATATCCCTATAGGTAACAATATTGAAAATTAGTTATTCAGACAATTGAGAGAACTGCAAAAATTATGCAGCAAATTATCCCCCAAACAATTTGCATTTGTATAAGATACATGCCTCAAATTGTGGTATTCAAAAAGGGCAGAAAAACAGATTTGCAGTATGGGCTAAAGAGATACAATAATAACTTAAATATTTATGGTGCCTTTCACACAGGGTTAGGGTGCTTAACTTGAGGTTGACGCTGAGATGGAAGAGGGGAGATGAAGCATAGTCAAAGAGGAAGATCTTCATGTGCAATCTGAGGACAGGCAAAGAGGGGGCAAGGGAGAGGAAATGAGGCAGAGTTCCAGAGCTTAGTAGCTAAAAGCACACCCACTGATTGTGCAGCAGAAGGTACTAGGGATTGCACAAGGTCAGAGCCAGCTAAACAAAAGGGACCAAGTAGAGGAGTGGGGTGTAAGCAGGTGGGAGAGGGAGAGAAAGCTGTTTTTAGAGAAGAGGCTATACCTTTAACATGCTGATGAAAGCTGAGGGAGTGGAAAAAACAGATTTTTGAAGAAAATAGAGGACAAGTGGTGGTTGAAGGCTTTGAACACAGGTTGTTTTGCATTTTCCTTGCATTCCAAAATAATAGGACTATTTCATCAGATGACATACTGCTCAATATGTTCCAGCCATATCTGACTGTGGGTGACCAGGGCAGTTTGATGCTATTTGTATACACTTTAGGTAGACTTCACATTTCAGTTTGTGGAGACAGTTGATGTACTGTGGGAATCTGGGTTGATGGGAAATTGCTTGCAATGTGGATGAAAATTAATCGAGGCATTGAGTTTTGTCAAATAACAACCAAAGAGAAAGGAGTTTAGAGTTTATGTTGGTGTCTTGTGAGGGAGCCAGGGATAGCTTTTTCCAAGAGCATAAAGAAAGTTTGGAGGGATTAGAAATAGGCAGGGCAATTTCTGCAGCTGAGGAAATTGAACAAATCACCAGATAAATCCTAAAAGGTAATCAATACCAACCAATCAGAGATGTTGGGTGGGGAGAGAGAAACAGGGAAAAAGAGAATGAGAAGAAAAAGGGGAAAATACTTAACCCTAGTGAGTTTATGATAAGAGATTATAGATTTGTCAAAATATAAAGACAATTTATTTGGATTATTCAAGATAACTAGATAAAAAATAATTAGCAGACAAATGCTGCCCCCTCCTCATGTCTATAATGTTAAAACTGAAGAACAAGAATGGACAAAAATGGAATAAGGTGTTCATTATAGAATATAAAGATCAATTTCCTTCATCATTAATTGTTTTGATAAGTTATCAAACAAGATTAGCATTATCTTATACTGTACTACAAATGTAGAATTCCCCTACAGTGTAATTAAAATCATCTCAAATTAATACATAAAGTGCTACAGCCAAATTACCTCTTCAATGTGTAACTAGGGGATTGGGGCCTCTTCTGATGAGCCATAGCACTTCATCTTAGATGATGGAAAATCTGATATATAATCTGCCAACTCTGACGCTTGAGCCTCAATTGGCTAAACATTTGGAGCCTGTTCTAAATAATGGAACTAAACAAGCCAATAATTGGACTTCTGATCCAGTAACTAGTTCATTCAAAAATTCTAATGCAAGAATAGGCTGAATAAGAACGCCAATCAATATATTAGTTGGAAAAACTACATAAATATCCATGCAAGTTTAAACATTTTCCACTAAGTCAATTCTTTTCCATAGATCTGTTTCTTTCCACTACCAAGTCTAATGTAGGATTTTTTTTAAAGTTACAAAACATTCATGTTAAGCTTACTGTGATAGTGTGGTTTTTCCAGAGCCTGGTAGGCCACGCATAAATATGAGGACCTTGTAGTTATACCACATATTACGCAGTCTTAAAAGTTGCTCTGGTTGCTGGTATTGTTGATACAATCTTGACTGGAACTTTGTCCTGTGCTCAGGACCATAGTCGTGTAAAGTGTGTCCAAGCTGTGGACCATAGTCACCAAAAGGAAGTTGTGACATAATACGAATCCGATTGTCTGATGCAAACAATGCACTGTTCCAATCACTGCTGCTATGTCCGTTATTTAAAAGCCTTCCATCATTAGAGTAAGGCAACATTCGCACTGGTGGGACATTGCTTCGTTGATAATTTAATTGCATATTGAATCTTGGTAAAGGTGGTCCCCGAGGTACTATGAATGCTTGTGCCTGGCTCTGATGAGCCCTCGAGAGGGGTCTGGTATTATTCCAATGGACAGATTGTGAATGTACATTAGAGGCAATTTCTGAATTGCTCCAATTCTGATATTCATTTGCTCCATTATCCAGGTACCGTTCAATACCGTCCCGTAGAGCACCTTTAATAGTCGTCTTAGGTTTCTTAGGCAGCCTACGTTCACTTTTCCTACCAGTGTTATTTTCTCTCTCATGGTCCATTGCACCATTTTTAGAACTTTGTTCGCAAATCATTGAACCATGAACACTTTCATCAATAGTTTCATTTTCAATTTTTTCCAATTCTTCATAAAAGAGACTCAATTCATTTTCAAACTCAGGTTTCTTTTCAGGTACTGTGATGGGTTCACTCCGATTACAATGTTTATCGTTTTCATCTTTCTGCTCGCTAGATGTTGTTGAGGAATTTTTTTCATTACCTTCTTCCTCTGAGTTTTCAGTGCTGCACTGCGAAGGAATATCCTTTTCATTTTGCTGCTCAGATTCCTGTTCAATTATTTCTTTCTGAAATATCTCAGTAGCAGACTCAGTTTTTAGCTTCTTGGAAGATGGTTCAATTGTTTCTCCATTACTTGCTTCCAGTGGACTGGTGTTCACTTCCACAACATCAGACATCTGAAAAACAATGTATTGGTTAAACAGAATTTTTTTTAAAAAGTCAAAAATGGAAAGTTTATACAAAACAATGCGATTCAACTAAGTGCTTTTTGTAAGTTTGTTAAAATAACTAAAAATACAAATCAAAGCAATTTCAGTATATTTCGAAGTTTTTTTTGAAAATAATAAAAAGAATAATTGTGCATTTGATATTGCACCTTAACACTTTGTTGAGACATCTTAAAGCGCTTCCCAGAATATGCAGAGTCCTGTAGCTCAGTGGTTAGAGCACTCGCTTTGCAAGCGAGAGACTGAGTTCAATTCCAGGCAGAGGGCGAAACCTTGGGCAAGTTTCCTTACTCCACACAGAGCCTAATAATAATCCCTCCAAAACCAAAAACAATAATAAATTGGTCATTTTCAATCTACGACTGTTTGTGGGACATTGCTGTGCGCAATTGGCTGCCGCGTTCGCCCACAAATATACAGTCAATTCACTTTACAGTGTGTTCTGTGAAGCGCTTTGGGACGTCCTCCCGACATGAAAAGCTCTATATCAAATGCAAGGATTATTATTATTATTATATTGTAAAGTAGATTGACTGTGTATTTCCGACTTATACAATTTGCCTGCAACTCAGACTTCACGAAAGTCATATTAAATCGCTTTTCACCCACAAAGTAGTCAACTCACTTCGCAGCATATTCTGTGAAGCGCTTCGAGATGCCTCAAAGATGTGATAAGGCGCTATATCAAATGCAAGGATTGTTATCATTATTGTTATTATTGTTGCTGTTGTGCTTCGCCGAATCTGAATCGAACAAGATATGGATCGACTCAAAGAGTAAGTAAAACCTTCGGAACTATCAGTCATGAAGACGTGCAGCAACAACAACTTGTATTTATGTAGCGCCCTTCCCCTGGGGCAGCATTACATGCTCGTACACAAGCAGGACATGTGCTGAAGCGGGACATGTGCTGAAGCGGGACACGTGCTGAAGCGGGACACGTGCTGAAGCGGGACACGTGCTGAAGCGGGACACGTGCTGAAGCGGGACACGTGCTGAAGCGGGACACGTGCTGAAGCGGGACACGTGCTGAAGCGGGACACGTGCTGAAGCGGGACACGTGCTGAAGCGGGACACGTGCTGAAGCGGGACACGTGCTGAAGCGGGACACGTGCTGAAGCGGGACACGTGCTGAAGCGGGACACGTGCTGAAGCGGGACACGTGCTGAAGCGGGACACGTGCTGAAGCGGGACACGTGCTGAAGCGGGACACGTGCTGAAGCGGGACACGTGCTGAAGCGGGACACGTGCTGAAGCGGGACACGTGCTGAAGCGGGACACGTGCTGAAGCGGGACACGTGCTGAAGCGGGACACGTGCTGAAGCGGGACACGTGCTGAAGCGGGACACGTGCTGAAGCGGGACACGTGCTGAAGCGGGACACGTGCTGAAGCGGGACACGTGCTGAAGCGGGACACGTGCTGAAGCGGGACACGTGCTGAAGCGGGACACGTGCTGAAGCGGGACACGTGCTGAAGCGGGACACGTGCTGAAGCGGGACACGTGCTGAAGCGGGACACGTGCTGAAGCAGGACACGTGCTGAAGCAGGACACGTGCTGAAGCGGGACACGTGCTGAAGCGGGACACGTGCTGAAGCAGGACACAGCCGTGTTGCCCTCCCAACTGCTGAAAAGCAAAAGGGCTTCCAATGAACTGAAACGAAGTGCAACTAACAGGTGCGCGTGCGCACGCGGCCGGGCCTCCCCACCCCCCCCCCCACCACCGGGCGGGGGAGGGGGAGGAGCGCGCACACGGACCACGTGACCCACGACAATGGCGCACGAGCCGGCGACCAACTGTCACCTTGAGCCCCGCGTCCGCCATTCCTTCACAACCCGAGCGGCTGATTGTTCACCGACTATCCCACACGTCAAATAAAAACAACGAACCGACTCCCGGAACACCCCCCCCGCCCCCCCCTCTCTCTTCCCCGCCCGCTCACTGGTTTCTCGCCTCTCCTCGACTTCTGAGAGCCGAACCCCGCTGAAAGCGCCGCTCCTGGGCCTGAGCCTCGAAATAATCTCCTCGCGTGAGCCTTAACCAGGAGAAACCGTTGAATCTCAACGAAGACAAACTGTGTCCCTCGTACCGTCAGGAGGAGGGGGAAAAAAACGCGTTTATCCGTAGACACAGCGAGGCCTCGTCTTACGCCATAAATAACATACCGATCCGGTCCGACGTCACCTCCGCCCGCACAGCCTTCTGGGAGACGTAGTCCGCGATGGACCCCCATTTGATCTGTTAGGCAAATCAAACGTGAGGGCGGGGCCCGTATTCAGATAGAAATCACTGCACAAGGCCGACAGGAGGAAATAATAATGTATAATAATAATAATCCTTGCGTTTGATATAGCGCCTTATCACGTATTTGCAGAATACACTGTATATTTTGATTGACTGTATATTTTGTGGGTGAAGCCTCATCCTCGCTTTCAAGGCCCCCCCCCCACGGCCCTGCCCCCTCCTCCATCAGAACCTGCTGACCCCCTGTCAACCTGTCCGCTCCCTCCGGTCAGCGGGCTCCGGTCTGCTCCATGTCTCCCCCCGACCCACCCTACCATCGGCGGCCGGGCTTTCAGCCTCTCTGCCCCCACTCTTTGGAAGTCCATCCCCCAATCCCCTCGCCTTGCTCCCTCTCTTGCCTCCTTCAAGGCTCGACTCAAGACCCTCATTTTTGACCGTGCCTTCGGCCGCCCTCCTACCCCCTCTGCCCTTCCTCATCCCAACTCTGCCCCCCCCCCCCCCCACGTTCGGGTCCTGATCCCTGACTGTTCAGCGCCTTGGGACGTCCTCCCGACGTGAAAGCCACTTTACAAATGTAATTTTGTTGTCGTTGAAACGTGGCAACCAATTGCGCACAGCAGTGTCCCACAAACAGTCGTAGAGTGACCAAATGCAAGAGTGACCAATTTTTTTTAAAAAAGGAATTATTACCAACATACTTCACACAAGGCTGGATATATCAACATCGTGTCATCTTGAAAGGGAAGGACGAATGTGGTGATTATGGTGAGAGGGCAACGTAATAATAATAATCCTTGCATTTGATACAGCGTCTTATCACGTCATTGAGACGCCTCAAAGCACTTCACAGGATATACTGTAAAGTGTTGTGACTGTATTTTGTGGGAGAAACCCGGCAGCCAATTTAGCACAACATTTGGAAACTTGTGAATCAGTATTACAGGGTTCTGTTCTTCCTGTGAGACACTTTCTGGAGCTCACTCCCAAGATCTCTTTTTACACTACTTGATTACGACCTCGGTCACCCTCCCTCCAACTACCTTATTAGGATTCCCACTCTGTCTCTTTGTAACATTTCCTATGTGAAAGGAATTGTTTTAAATGCAAAAATCTTTTCATACAGAGTTGTTGGGATGTGGAATTCTCTGCCAAGTAAGGTGGTAGAAATGGAGTCCATTGTGGGTTTCAAGAGGGAAGTAGACAAGTACACAAAAGAAAAAGGCATTTTTCTTTAGGCAGAGGATAATCAATGACTGGAACAGGATGCCAGGAAAAGTGGTACAGGCCAAGACTAGACTCATTTATAAAGCAGCTTGATGTTGTGATTGAGGGTTGGGTGGGTGGGTGTTCTGAAGGGATGAGATTGGATGGGCCAAAGAGCCTTTTTCATCTTGACCGATGTTGGGATCTTCAAGGCAAATGGGGGTAGTGCAGGGCAGTAGGACTACATATTCTACTTCTGCCGTGTAAATTATCAATTGCAATGTTTGCTTATAGAAGGGGTCAAGCCCCATATGGGGACTTTGACCTCATATCCTAGGCTGATCCTCCAAAGCAGTATTGGGGAAGTGCTACATTGTGTGGAATGGACGTGAAACTGAGATCCTGCTTGCCTGTTAATTTTAAAGATCCCACAGTACTGTTCGAACAGAGAAGGGAGTTTTTCCCAATTTCCAGGCCAACAATTCCCATGATAAAATTGTTCATTTACTTCATGGCTATTTGTGGGACATTTCTGTATACAAATTGGCTGCTGTGTTCACTTCCAAATACAGTTACTGCCCTTAACAGTAAATTCTGTGAAGCACTATATCAAATGCAAGTATTATGATTATTTTTTTTTAAAAAGTCACTAAACTGGTCAGTAATTATTTATGAAGCACTTTTACATGTTTCAAATGTAATATGATCCAATGTAGAGTCCTGTTAGTTTAAACATGCCTCTGTTTACCTGGCAGTAAGTAGGAACCATTTGTTAGTTGATTGGCGGATTGCTTTTCCGCATATGCCAGACATGTGGCTTACCAAAAAAGTTTCCAATTGTAATATAAATTCACATTCGCCTACAAGTACACAATTACTACACTAAAAGTAATAATCCTGGTGGCTCCTTATGACATTCGGACAAAGTGATAAGATGCTAAATGAAATCCAAGGATTGCTAATATTTTTATGTCTCTGAAAGTCTATTCAATTGGCTGATGAAATACAAATATTCTGTAATGTAGTCAATTGGACAAAAGCTCTTATCTGTAAGATAAGTATTAAGTAATAATAATCCTCACACTACATAAGAAGGTGATTTTGAATGTTTCAAGTGTTTAGAAACAATTATAGACTGGAAACAGATTCTTTAACATTTTCTAGATTTGTTTCGGTACATTGCCCAAATTAGAAAAGGAGAGTTTGACACTAAACTTCCCATATCACCCAAGCAGTCTTCACAGTGCTGGCTCATTTCATATACAATTAAATTCTAAAAAAAACTGCTGAATTTCAATTCAATTTAGTACAGTACTTTTTCAATTGACAGATTTGATCTAAAATTAAATCCATTTTGGATAATCTTGAGATGACAGCACTACTGGCTGCAGAAATCTTCCTTTCAAACAAATTCAAGGAAAGAAAAGCCTCTTCCCAGGAAATCCTGGAAGATTTGGAAACCCTTATTGTGTCATTAATCTATACTAGCTAACCTCAACATGCAGTATTAAATTACAATTGCATTAACATATAAAGTAATACAACAATAACTTGCATTTATATAGTGCCTTTCATGGAGGGTAGAGTTTCAGAGCACTTGTGTGTTGATGGACGGAATGATAGAACAATTAGCATGGAAATAAGGAAAATGTGTATTTTTCTTATTTTTTTCCAAACTCATTTGAACATAGTTTATCGGTGGGGTGGGGGAGACACAGGGAGCATGCAGGTGTCCTTCAGTCACAAATGCGGCTTATGTTGTTCAGCCAAAGGCCCATCATTACCTTACCTGTTTAACTCAACTTTTCCTTTCTCTTTCTTCTGTACCTAGTTGGTACTAGAATTTTTATTTAACTTTATACCAAATCTCTTCATATCATCTCACATCCCAGCTAATTTATGTTCCCTTAGTTGTTTTAGTCTTATCTATTTTAATAAATCATTACAAAGTATCTTTTTATCATTTGTGATCTTCTTTATGGATCTTTTATATCAATATTCATGTTTTAGGTCTGTGTTGCAGAACGCAACAATACTGTATGTTTAATTTGTAATAAAACACTCTGGAATCTTTCATACCATTTTCAAATTTGAGCAAGTATTTATATGATGATTTTCTTGTTCCTGTCTTCCCTCTTAACCCGGTCAATGTTTGTCCATGTGCTTATTAAAAGAGCAGAACATATATGGATATTTTAATTATTCAGATCATAACTTAATGTTAATTAGCATAGTATGATTTGTCTTTTTATGATTTGTAATAACCCTAACTGCCTTGTTCATCTGTATTGTTAATTTTACCCTGAACATCTTCAGGAAGAAATCTAATGAAAATCATTTTTTTAATATAATTATGTACCAATCTTTATTATTCATTCTTGACACAATCTATTTATACTGAAAGTAATTTAATCAGAGTATAAAATGTTCATTTCATGTTAAAACATATTTAAATAGTGTGTGCCTTCTTGAAATAGAAAAAGCTATTTTGATAAGACGCAAAACCAGCATATTCTTTGAGTTATCCTTGATATTCAATTCAACGGCTTTCTTAAACATGATACATGTCGTAAGAACAGATTTATGGAAAATCCAAACTTAAAAGCTACCTGAGATTGAGTATTTTGTCAATTAATGATGAGTATATTTAATTCTCTCTATAGTTTTTTGTATGAATAAACACTTTCACTCTTTTGGGCTGTCAATAGTTTTGAATAGGTAGTAAAGATACTATTTGAATTTTTTTAGAATACTGTCATAATTGTTTAATGTCTCGGCCTGGATGTATCCCTCTGGGAAGAAATGTAGAAAGAAAAATCTGAAGCACAGAAGGAGGCCATATGGCTTATTGAGTCTGACCAGTTTATAGTGCAAGATCAATTCAATCCCACAGCCCCACTCTATACCCCTTCAAGACCTAGCTCTTTCATGTGTTTCTTTTTCATATGAGAGAATGCACATTCCATTTCAAACATTGTAATTTTCTTGTGTACACAATGAACTCTCAGTTTGGTTTAGATATTCTTAAGCATTGTGACAGGTTTTCGCTGTGGCAGATACCCAGCTGACCAAAACAATTAAAGACATGCATTTACTCTTTCCTGGTACTAGTTTGAGCGTCTAAGCTTCAGTTTAAGGCTTTTGTGAAATAAGCCGATTGTTGAAAAAGCCCCAAAACAAGGTTAAAATATTTTAATCTGTAATCTATAATAGGTCTGTACTTATTCCAAATAAACCCCACAAGTTGAGGACTAAAGGTTAATGTTTCCTTTTTTACTTCTTAGTGAAATATATACTTTCTACCATTTACAAAAAGTTTACCTTCTGTTGCATTCTGTGTGAGCACGACAGCACTTTGCTTGTTCTTTGAGACGTTGTGCTACAAAGTTTCTAGAGGTCCTCATCTCAGGCAGGACATGAAAGGAGGAAGTGGGAACCAAATAGGTGCTTTCCTACAAAACAAACAGAAACTTCGCCAAAAATGTCATCTTTGGTTTCTCTCATGCGCGCTTGCTGTGAACGGTAGAAAAAATTGAGAACAGATAGAAAAAAGTAGAATCACATTTTCCTTGTTTTAAAATAAAAAAAAATGACATTTTTGAATAGACTGTAACACAATGAAAAATTAACTGTTTTTTAATTCCGTCATGATGCTAATCGCCCAGGGTGATAGATAATCCATGCATTTTAGAACCTGTACATCAGTTCTAAATAGGAACCAGGTTGTTAGTCGATTGGCGGATTGCTTTCCAAGAGGTAATAATCCCTCCCAAAAAATAATATGGTCACTTAATCTATG